GAAAAATTCCCTTTATAAAAGACATAAATGTTTTACCTTATGTAGTGATTTTGCAAGTGTGCTGGCATGTGAATATACAAATTTAGCTGGTCATTTAGCTAGTTTGTTAGATTTTAATTTTAATTTTAATTTTTTGTTCAAGTAATACAAAGGCCTCATTTAGTTAGGGGTTGGAAATGCTCAAAAGCTCGTTGTGACATTTAGTTTTAGGCCCTTGGTAATAAAAACCAAAGATTTTCATGGGCCACTGACTGACCAACTTGTTACTCCCGGTAGAAACATAACCTTTATCCAAACATAGTTCAAAGATGCGTCTTATGACCGGTTTCTCATTTATAACACCGGTTCACCACTTGGACTTCACCCCTGCTTGTTGTAGCTAGGAGAGGGATCATGTCTGAATCCCTTCCACCAAGTTCTCTCCATCAACTACTCTGGGTCTTTGAAATTTGATTCCATGGCTAAAAACAAGGATCCACTTTAGAAGTTATAATACCTTTAGCTGTTTGATCAAATTTCAAGAACCCGAATTGATTGATGGGAAGGACTTGGTGGAAGGGATCCGGAGATGATCCCTTTCCCTGTAGCTATAAATTCACTTGACTAGATAGAGGGAGACACACACACACACAAACACGGATACCAAAAGCAGTGACAGAAATAGAACGTGTGGGTGGTGGCCTTGGTGGGCTTCCTCCCAAGCATGCAAAATCATGAAACCCTGGTAAAAATCTCTCTAAGCAAATGGCATATGGGTTATCTCTTTTATTTCTTTAGATATTTCTTGTAATACCCTGGAAAATTTTAAATATATGATTATATGGAATCTTTTTTTCAGAATGTGAAATGACGAAAATGCCCTAAGGGGGCTAAACGTAATTTTACGAGGATGTATTTTATCCTCATATATATATTTTTGTTATGTTTCTTGACATATTTGGATAGAGTTCGATCCTATGAACACGTAAGCAAAAACCGTTCGTGAAATAAAATTATAACGAAAATGTAATTAACGATTAAAGTTGAAGATAAAATAATATTTTTCTCCATTAATTTGGAGAACTCCAGATTTTTTTTGGAGCAAAGAGTGTGCCACTTGGAGGGCTATGAGAGTGGGGTGAAACATGGGACCAATCAGATGGAAAAGGGCGGAGGGACATGAGAGAAGGCAAGGGGGGTGAAAGGGGGAAAACGGGTCTGTTGACCCGTGTGACCCAAACCGGCGGGAGCCATGAAATCCGGTGGTCTCCCAGCCAAATTCAGGCGAGTTGCGGCCACTCACCACCTGGAACCAACTCACCATCATCTCCTCTTCCTATTACACCCCCAAAAATCAAGAGATTTAGATTTCAAATTGGGAAAACCGCACCGGTGGGTGCGGCGGTTCTTGCCCAAGATTCACAACTTTTGAAATGATTTCATCCAATTACTACCACCATTAGACTTCCCTTGAGCCCCTGAACAAAGCCCAAGCATTGGTTGGGACGTCGGAGCGGTTTTGGAGTCGAATCAAGAACACCCAATTTAAGGGTTTCTGGCAGGTCGAGGCCGATTTGAGCTATTTTCAGGCCGAATTGGACTTCGACCAAGGTATGAAAGTTGTTCCTCTCATTGAATTCTACAACCCTGTGAAATTTGGTAATTTTTAGAGTTCGTCGGAATTTGAGATTCCGTTCGCCAGAAACCAATACGCACGGCGGCACGTGACCAGAGGACCGATGCGGCCTTTTAAAACTAATTTCGATATTCTGAATTCATATTTGGAATGTATTTGGTGTGATTCACTTGTTTAAACCTACTTAGTGATTGTTAGTCACTTGAATGATTTTTTAAAATAAGTTAGAAATTGAATTTGTGAACTACGAATGGTGTGATTCTTTCGTAGGGAACGTAGGCAGTCTAATGGGGTTAGATGCAGCCATAATAAAATAACTAAGATTAATCTGTTCTTGGAAATTGTCAGGGAAAAGGAATTTGGTGATTATACTCTGAAATAATTTTTGGGCCTATCTTAGTATTTGCTTCCAAATATTAAATTTCAGGATGTTACATTTCTCTTATTATTACTTGTTTTAATTTCTTCTTGATAATTTTATATGAGTGTACATTTGTATGTGTGTGCATATATAAAATAAGAGTTGGTTTTCTGAGTTTTTCTCTCGTTTTTTTATTTGTTTATGGAATTTTATTCCATGCATATCGATTTCTTCTCAAATTTTAGAGACCCAAATATATTATCTTCCCCTTCTTCCATTTTCCCCGAAAAATTGTTTGTTCAAGCCAAATCCCAAAGAATTTGCATTCGATCCTGCATTTGATGGTCTTTTGCATGTAACTTTGTCTTTGTGTTTGTCTCAGCTGCTTATGTGCTGATATCATAGATATATCTCAGTTCTCCTTAGGGTTTTCATTGTTTTGTCAAGCTTTTAACACAATATTTTTTGTTGATGATTTTCACTGCTCGTGTTATTGTGTTTGTATTTGTGTGTTCGATTTTTGGAGGAAGTCAAATGTTTTTCTTCCCTGAATAAAATTAAATTTCATGTTATTTTTTTGGCATACTTTAATTTTTACATTATTTTTCTCTATGGCTATCTATTTTTATTTATTATTTTTGGCTACAGCTCTTTGCTTTTTGGTCGAATTTTTGGGTATAGCAGCTAGCTAGTTTCAGTGTAACGCTTGCGCTCAAATATTGGAATATCTGGTTCTAGGCCTGCAGTTGGCCAGTTGCTCTGTGATGGTCTGTAATTTTAAGCCATATTATATATATATATATATATATACAGACACTTTAACAAGAGGGATCTTCATTTAAAAAAAAAAAAAGAACATTCTCTTGACTGTTAGATTTGACTTTAATAAAATTATGTGGTTGAGATTAAATCACATGTCACAAAATCTTAACCACAAAATTTCATTAAAGCCAAATCTAACGGTCAAGAGGGTGTGCCCATGTTTTTTTTTTTTTTTAAATGAGGATCCCTCTTGTTAAAGGATTCCTATATATATATGTACAGGCTTATTTTTTTGTCTGATTATAATTGGTTCCTACTATTAAAAACTTCAATAGCTCTGCCTTTACTTTCATTGTTAGAAATTATAAGGGTTTCCATCACTCAAAAATCAGTATTTTTCTTTTACAATATATATATATGTTACAAATAAGTTTTCTAGTGTAGAATAGCCAAATCGAAGGGCTTTAGTTTTTTTCCTTTTCAACATTTTATGAATGCCATAAAGATGTATATGTGTGTTTACATATATATATATATATATATGTATATAATACATATTAGTGGAAATATATTCAAATCTGAAATATTTTACTAGTCATAAGGCAGCACATGAAAAACCTTGATTGAATTATTAATTAAGTGTTGATTAACGTGCTTGTTTCTTATTGGTAACATATCATTTGGTTTGCAATTTGGTTTAAAAATTGGGAATTGTTATTAGCACTCTAAAAATCTCGTTTGGCCTTCTAAACTTTCTATAATTAGAAAGAAAAATATAATTGTGAAAAGTGTAGAATGAAATTTTTGGGATGCTGTTACCAGTTCCAAAAAAATTTAGTTTCCTTAACATTATCAATTTTCTAGTGCTTAGCCATTTCATAGCTACGACACGTAGACATGCAAGCGCGTGAGTTATCAGTTTATTCGTTGTTTGGAACTTAGGTGGAGTAGCAAGCAGGCCGAAAAAGAGTGACAAGGAGGAACCCTTCCTCTTAAAAAGGCTTTGACCTCTTAGGCCTCGTTTGGCAGCTCGGACTGTACTGACTATTTCTGTCGGATAGGATAAATAACCACCGGATAGTACTGACTAAATTAGTCTGGTGTTTGGTGCAGTATCGGACTAGTGACCGTATTATTTATACTGTGTTTGATATTATACTATATAGGAGGCATCAAACTTTAAAAAAAAAAAAAATTAAAAAAAATGAAATCATATTTTTGTTCCCAGGTCTCTCCGCACCCCCCAAACACCCTCCTCTCTCTCCCTTCTTCTTCCCCGACGGTAGAAGAATCCCAAATAATTGTTTCCCAACTCTCTCCACCCCCCCCCCCCCAAACTCCCTCCCTTTCTCTCCCATATTCTTCTTCCCCGACTAAATAATCCGGATGTTTTGGTTGGTTTTATTAAGCGGGTGTATACCGTATTATCCTATCCGACCGGTTAAATTAATCCGGTGCTTATTTAGTACGAGTGAACGCCAAACACCGGGGTCCGTATAACTAATCCTATCCGATCCTTTATCCGATTTGCCAAACAGGGCCTTATCCTTTTGTCTTGACCGGAGTAACCGTTATTGTGGAAACATAACTACGAGCAGGTGAGCATTGGAATTGTTACGCGCATGTTAGGGTTTATGGTACTGCACATTGTTGTCTCGTCAATCACTATATTCAGTGCGGTTATTTAGATTAAGGAAAATTTTATTTAAATCCCTGCAACTTCTTTTTATACTCAACTTAAAATTTTGAATGTTAATTGTTTATTTTATCCTATTGCATAATTACTATTAAGTACAAAATGAAATTAATAATAAAACTCAAATTTATCAATAAACTCAAACACTATAATTAAACCTTACGATCATTTTTTGTTTATCCTATGTTCATTATAGTTAAAACCCTAATAGCTCTCATAAATAGGACTAGGTTTCACCACTACAAACATAGTTTTTCTTCTTGTAAAGACTATTGGTAAACTTTATTCTCCGTTTGAGATTAAATTTCATTCTACTTACTAGAATATGAACGCGAAATTCGTTCAATTCAATCAATTAGAAAACTATCCCAATGATCTGGTCTAATGTTCTTGCTGATGACTAACTTTTGATTGATTAACGCTTACGTGGCCTCTAATATCTACAGACACTTCCCACGAATTGTATTATCTGGACATTTGCAGGTCAAATGTAGTATTTTCAGAGGTAAAAACTCTTCAGGTACCAGTCGTGTTGAAAAAGATATTTCGTTTGCTAAAACGCGAAAGCTTTTTCATTTAGGACAGTTTGAGTTACTATCTATCTGGATTCCTAACGCCAAACAGAACGTAGTTTGTTGCTAGTTAATCATAATCAGGAAAGCAACAATTTCCTGATTACATTACAGCGTTAGGGTACGTATACAGTTTGAGATCAGATTAACAATTAAGCTCAACGGGTTCCACAAATACAACATAACAAGGGGACATTTTTTCGAAGCTTCTCACAAGATATGAGGTCTGGATATTTGCTGAGAGAAAACATTGCACCTCCAATGATGCCCTTTGAGTTCTTTAGGTTGGGATTTCGATATTGTAATTTGCAGTAGTTTCAAGGTACTGGTTGTTGCCAAAAGTAGATAAGAGCCAAAATTTCTGTTGCATCTTTCCAAGCATTCTTGAGATCATATTCTTCAAAAGGGCTAGTGCTGCTGAAACCAATCTTTGGTTATCACATATCGTGCTCCACCAGTACTCAAGAATCCATGTATTCGGATCTAGCTGCACAGCTGAGGCACCCCAACTTCTCTGCACCCAGGAAGTGTTTACCGACCTTTCCAACCGACCACTTCTCAACAACAACAATGTGGTAAGAAAATAGTATATGGTTGTACATCATGACACAAAACTCAAAACATCTCAAGGCTGACCATACAACACTAACATACATAATCTAGTAAAAACGTTTTCAGCTTTACCTCTGTGACTCTGCCGGATAAGATTGTGAAAGACCGGGAAGAAAACCCACTCGTGAGTAACCCGGCATTGTGCAAAGGCCATCCCCATATCCGCACCTCCTCAATCGCAGATTTATACAATGTGCAATGTGAGCTTAGAAGCAAACCATCCTAACATTTCATCATTAACAAGTTTGTGAATTTTGGAACAGACATTTCAAGTTTATCACCGAATAATGCTGAATTGCTATTAAACTTGTAAAGCAGAAGTTTGATTACCAAGTTCCTGACTATGTCCTATATAGAACTAGGATAGCTGCAATTCGAAACCCTCCCATGAACAAGACCCTGCATCTCTTTCTACAAGAACCTTAGCCTGCCATTCATATCATCCACAACCCAAGATTTTTCACTAACATTTCTCACCATCTCCGGCGATAGAATTGGTTTCAATGCACCCGAAACCATCTTATAAAACCCGCACATCGCCACATAAACCAAGCTTAAACCCAAAATCAATCTCCAAAACTCACACCCAAAACCCCATTTTCTCCCCATCTTCTTAGTCTTCTTCTTCGATTTCAATCTTACATCCGTTGAAAAATCAATGAGCTTATTTGGTGGTAACTATTCAGCAGTCAAGTGGCAGTTTCTGAGTTAAAAATCTAATGGGTGTAAAAATAAATCTCCATATTGGATTGGGTTTATGGGGATATATTAGGTATTAAATTTGGATATTAGTAGTCTAGTTAAAAATCAAATGGATGCAAAGAGTAAGTTGAGTGTATAAATAGGTTAGATGAGTTTAAATAAAATTTCTCTTTAGATTATCAATGATACATGGTTGATAATCGTTGATTATTGCGAATTTTATAGTAAATTTTAAATAAATTAATTATTCACTGAATTCGACATTTCTTGCAAACATAATATTGAACAAATTTTAAACAGTTAAATTAGAGCATTTTAAATGGTAGGTTTACTCAACAAAATTGAATTAGCAGAGAGAGAGTCTACGAGAGAACGACTAAGGTGCAATGAATTTAACGCTATTGTGGCATCCCAAGCTACTGCATGAACTTTTTTGGTCAGCCATGACCTTATTTAATGTCATCAGTTTATGGTAGGAATTAATGGCAAAACCTCTTTGGTTGGCCATGCATTCTTCACATCCAAAGACAATTTATGATTCAAAGCCCCATTAATATACACCCTGGTCCTGATTAATTTAACCATACACCATGTCCTCCTTATCCATTAATATACACTCTGTTTGATATTGGTTTTGAAAATAGTGAAAACACCATAAAACAAACTGATTTTCTCCACCGAAGATTATGATATATGTTTCTAAGCGGTTGGCCTTTGGAAAGTAAAAAACAAACTGAGCAATTATAAGATTTGACCAAGTAAATGGTTTCGCATTTGGTTATTTAGGATAATTACATGCGTGAGGATTATTAAATGATACATTTGATAAATTCGTCTAATTTTATGGTAGGAGGCTTTAGATTAGAACTCACTTTATGGTTTTGCATTAGAAGACAATCTGTACTTAACTTCTTAAGCAAGTCTGGAGGAAATCTGCTCTTAGTTGATGCTATGTCTCCGTCTCTTTTGCATGCTTTAATATGCTTTCTTCTGATTTCTAATTTTTAAAATTTTTTATTTTTGTTTTATTAATTTTATTCGGAAGATTTTCACAGAATGGCTTCAATTGAGTTAGGTTTTGTTCAATTTAATCTCATTAGTTTCATTCCAATTCAATGATTTTGTGTAACACTGAGTTTTCTATTGGAGAATAAATTTTCTTCATAGTTCATTCAATTTTGTTTTATTTTCTGATTTGGATTTTGAAATTGAGACTCCTAGCTTTGCGCTCATCAAGAATTTTTTTAGTAAAATGCAGGTGCAGAATGAATGACCAATCAATGTGGGAGAAGCTTTTAACTTTTTTGGGTTCAATTTTAAATGGATTGTTATCAACCATTGAATTGCTTTTGAAGTTTTCATTTGATAAGAGAGATGGAGGGGTTCTTTTGGGTGGAACTTTTGATCCGTGATATTTTTAGTTAGGTTGTGTTGTGGGTTTTCGCAAATTTCTACCGTGTTTATGCATGCATTTTTTGTTATAGATTTGGAAGAAAATAGCATTACAAGGTGTTGAGGGTTTGTTGGCGGGGGAAGGCAGCAGCGTTAAGATTTTGCCGGTGAGATATTAGGGTGAGAGAAAAAGGGGACAAAGAGCATCGAAGACACATTTGGGATTAGGGGTAGCAAAACAGGGGAAAAGAATGTGACAGAGGAATGTGGACTCTTAATTTTTTCTTAACTGGTTTGGGATTTTGCTTGCCTTTGGGGTCGTCGTTGGCGTCAAGCCATTTGTGTCAAGCGGTGTCTGTTTTTTCATAACTTTTATTACTAATTTTTATGTCATTTGCGATTTTGTGTCCTAGGATTTCTGAATTTTATCGTTCATTGTCGGTTTTTTAATTTTTTTTTTCTCTTCGTTTGTTTGTTTCATATGTTGTGTTTGTGCTGGGATGCCGTTTTGCAAGTTCTCTTTCCATTGGGACAGCTGCATTTTTAAAGTGTTGAGGGTGAGATTTAGATACTCAAAACACTCCTTTTTTTTTTTTATTTTTTTTATTTTTAAATTTTCCCTTCCAAATATTCGCATTTGGTTCTCTTCGGTTTTAAATGTTTAAAATTAAGTGGTTATTTGGATAAAATGGTTTATTAATTTATCTTATGTGTTGTGATTTGGAATTCAATTGGATCGGGTAAAATGCTTTATCAATTTACATTATAGGGAATTTTGTGTATTATGGTCGTTGAGTTTTATTGCTTATTGTTTGTTTTTTTTCCCTGTTTGCTGGTTTCTTTTGCAGGGGATCACTACAGTTTGGGCATCTTTTCGAGTTTTAAATTGCTTGAGGGTAAGATTTAGATAACAAATTTCGAAACGAGGCGTTACTATTCTTTTTGGAAACTAATTTAAAAGCTGTGCATAGATCTTAACTGTGTTGAAATGTCTTGATATAGTAGATCCACGAAATTGGAAATATCAAAGTTGTCAAAAATCAGGCTAATTCCTTTGTGATGACAAAATGTTAAAAGTGCTGGGAAAACAATGTTTGCATTAATTAAATGATAATATACCATTTTAAGAACCATGATTAATGCAACCCAATTGTAGTAATGATTCTTCCAACATAACTTATTTTGATGAAATTCTGATGCAGTCAACGAAAAGGACCATACCTGCATGTTTTGATGAGTTAAGGGATTAATGGTCATGGATTTTTAGTTAAGGTACCATTGCTCTAATTGGAATAAAATTGTGGAACCATTGCTACAATTTTCTCTGAGTTTAATATATGTCATTTGAAGGGAATAAGCTTTTGAATTTTAAATGAAAACAAATTCATTTACCGGGTTTCTTCCTAGCACGCTCTGTTCCTTGAAAAACCTTGAGTCTCTTGTCTTGCACTCGAATAATTTGACAATTGATGCTTCTACTCCACAAGCAGCAAGCACTCTTTCTTGCTTGTTTAATCTTAGAAATTTGATAAGATTACACTTGGCAGTTAATCCACTAAACACCATGATACCAGCTGCTTGCGGGAATCTCTCTACATCACTCCTATATGTTAATTTAAGAAATTCCAACATCAGGGGTAACATTCCAGTTGATACTAGCAACTTGAGCAGCTTGGTATCACTAGAGCTAGGAAACAATCAGTTGAGTGGAGCAATTCCAACTTCTATACAAAGGCTACAAAATCTCCAAGTTTTGTATTTGTACGGTAACGAACTAGAAGGACATATCCCGTATGAACTCTGTCAACTAAACAACCTAGCCGAGTTACATTTGGGTGGTAATCGGCTCTCTGGTTCTATTCCTTCCTGCTTGGGTACTTTGGCAGTAGCTCTAAGATATTTATCGTTAGGGTCCAATTTGTTAACTTCAAAAATACCATCTTCCTTGTGGGAACTCAAGTATATACTGCACCTAAACTTGTCATCCAATTCTCTAGTTGGACCACTCTCAGAAGATATCGGAAAGTTGAAAAATGTGGTGGATATGGATTTATCAAATAACCATTTCTCCGGAAACATTCCCAGTAGCATTGGGGGTCTTCAGAATATGATTAATTTCTTCTTGGAAAACAATCATTTAGAAGGCCCTATTCCCAGTTCATTTAAAACCTTGCTAAGCCTAGAATTCTTGGATTTGTCCAAAAACAATATATCTGGAGTGATCCCAAAGTCATTGGAAGCACTCTTGTATCTCAAGCATCTGAATTTGTCTTTCAACAAACTCCAAGGAGAAATTCCAACCGGCGGGCCTTTCGGAAACTTCTCTGCTGATTCATTTGTATCAAACGGTGCCCTCTGCGGTGCTTCCCGACTCATTTGTATCATTTGACACTCTAAACTTTCTATAATTAGAAAGAAAAATATAATTGTAAAAAGTGTAGAATGAAATTTTTAGAATGCTGTTAACAGTTTCAAAAAAATTTAGTTTCTTTAGCATTATTAATTTTCTAGTGCTTAGCCATTTCATAGCTACGACACGTAGACATGCAAGCGCGTGAGTTATCAGTTTATTCTTTGTTTGGAACTTAGGTGGAGTAGCAAGCAGGCCAAAAAAGAGTGACAAGGAGCAACCCTTCCTCTTAAAAAGGCTTTGACCTCTTATCCTTTTGTCTTGACCGGAGTAACCGTTATTGTGGAAACATAACTACGGGCAGGTGAGCATTGGAATTGTTACGCGCATGTTAGGGTTTATGGTACTGCACATTGTTGTCTCGTCAATCACTATATTCAGTGCGGTTATTTAGATTAAGGAAAATTTTATTTAAATCCCTGCAACTTCTTTTTATACTCAACTTAAAATTTTGAATGTTAATTGTTTATTTTATCCTATTGCATAATTATTATTAAGTACAAAATAAAATTAATAATAAAACTCAAATTTATCAATAAACTCAAACACTATAATTAAACCTTACGATCATTTTTTGTTTATCCTATGTTCATTATAGTTAAAACCATAATAGCTCTCATAAATAGGACTAGGTTTCACCACTACAAACATAGTTTTTCTTCTTGTAAAGACTATTGGTAAACTTTATTCTCCTTTTGAGATTAAATCTCATTCTACTTACTAAAATATGAACGCGAAATTCGTTCAATTCAATCAATCAGAAAACTATCCCAATGATCTGGTCTAATGTTCTTGCGGATGACTAACTTTTGATTGATTAACGCTTACGTGGCCTCTAATATTTACAGACACTTCCTACGAATTGTATTATCTGGAAATTTGCAGGTCAAATGTAGTATTTTCATAGGTAAAAACTCTTCAGGTACAAGTCGTGTTGAAAAAGATATTTCGTTTGCTAAAACGCGAAAGCTTTTTCATTGAGGACAGTTTGAGTTACCATCTATCTGGATTCCTAACGCCAAACAGAACGTAGTTTGTTGCTAGTTAATCATAATCTGGAAAGCAACAATTTCCTGATTACATTACACCGTTAGGGAACGTATGCAGTTTGAGATCAGATTAACAATTAAGCTCAACGGGTTCCACAAATACAACATAACAAGGGGACATTTTTTCGAAGCTTCTCACAATATATGAGGTCCGGATATTTGCTGAGAGAAAACATTGCACCTCCAATGATGTCCTTTGAGTTCTTTAGGTTGGGATTTCGATATTGTAATTTGCAGTAGTTTCAAGGTACTGGTTGTTGCCAAAAGTAGATAAGAGCCAAGATTTCTGTTGCATCTTTCCAAGCATTCTTGAGATCATATTCTTCAAAATGGCTAGTGCTGCTGTAACCAATCTTTGGTTATCACATATCGTGCTCCACCAGTACTCAAGAAGCCATGTATTCGGATCTTGCTGCACAGCTGAGGCACCCCAACTTCTCTGCACCCAGGAAGTGTTTGGCTTCCGAATCACATACCTACCGACCTTTCCATCCGACCACTTCTCAACAACAACAATGTGGTAAGAAAATAGTATATGTTTGTACATCATGACACAAAACTCAAAACATCTCAAGGCTGACCATACAACACTAGCATAAATGATCTAGTAAAAACGTTTTCAGCTTTACCTCTGTGACTCTGCCGGATAAGATTGTGAAAGACCGGGAAGAAAACCCACTCATGAGTAACCCGGCGGTGTGCAAAGGCCATCCCCATATCCGCACCTCCTCAATTGCAGATTCATACAATGTGCAATGTGAGCTTAGAAGCAAAGCATCCTAACATTTCATCGTTAACAAGTTTGTGAATTTTGGAACAGAGATTTCAAGTTTATCACCGAATAATGCTGAATTGCTATTAAACTTGTAAAGCAGAAGTTTGATTACCAAGTACCTGACTATGTCCTATATAGAACTAGGATAGCTGCAATTCGAAGCCCTCCCAGGAACAAGACCCTGCATCTCTTTCTACAAGAACCTTAGCCTGCCATTCATATCATCCACAACCCAAGATTTTTCACTAACATTTCTCACCATCTCCGGCGATAGAATTGGTTTCAATGCACCCGAAACCATCTTATAAAACCCGCACATCGCCCCATAAACCAAGCTTAAACCCAAAATCAATCTCCAAAACTCACACCCAAAACCCCATTTTCTCTCCATCTTCTTAGTCTTCTTCTTCGATTTCAATCTTACATCCGTTGAAAAATCAATGAGCTTATTTGGTGGTAACTATTCAGCAGTCAAGTGGCACAGGCTGCTGCGGCAGTTTCTGAGTTAAAAATCTAATGGGTGTAAAAATAAATCTACATATTGAATTGGGTTTATGGGATATATTAGGTATTAAATTTGGGTTTAAAGAGATATTAGTAGTTTAGTTAAAAATCAAATGGGTGCAAAGAGTAAGTTGGGTGTATAAATAGGTTAGATGAGTTTAAATAAAATTTCCCTTTAAATTATCAATGCTATATGGTTGATAATCGTTGATTATTGCGAATTTTATAGTAAATTTTAAATAAATTAATTATTCACTGAATTAGACATTTCTCGCAAACATAATATTGAACAAATTTTAAATAGTTAAATTAGAGCATTTTAAATGATAGGTTTACTCAACAAAATTGAATTAGGAGAGAGAGTTTACAAGAGAACGACTAAAGTGGAATGAATTTAACGCTATTATGGCATCCCAAGCTACTACATGAACTTTTTTGGTCAGCCATGACCTTATTTAATGTCATCAGTTTATGGTAGGAAATAGTGGCAAAACCTCTTTGGTTGGCCATGCATTCTTCATATCCACAGACAATTTATGATTCAAACCCCATTAATATACACCCTGGCCCTGATTAATTTAACCATACACCATGTCCTCCTTACCCATTTTTTTACCTCCTCCGTACCCATTAATTAACTGACCACAAAATGTTACTTTCAAAGGAGAAGGTACCGGTACACAAGATTGCTGGTGTCCCTCACGAATGGCACATGACACCTGAGTTTCTTCTTTTTATACGCGCGGTGGTTGGGTGAGTTCTTGAAGGCGGAGGATGCGTTGTGCTGTGAAGGTAGCTGAGGGTGATTGTTTTCAATTTTTGTTTCATTAAGGGTAAATTAGGAATTCTGATTGACAAAAAAGTATACTGGTTGACATTTTTTTAATTTAAAAACTAGGTAATTAGGTGTCTGGTTTTTATTGGTTAGGAACACCAGCTGGTGTACCCAGTACCCAGTAAAATTTCTCCTCTCTCAGAAACCTTATTTTCTCACAAACCTCTCTTTGCCTTCTCTCCTATCTCCGCTTCCCTCTGTGCCTTCCTTTCTTCCAGAAAACGCTCGAGTTAGTTAAATTGTAGTTAATTGATTTAGATCTTTTCATCGGGGGTTACAATCGGCAACGCTCTCTTGCTGAAAATAGCGAATTTGGTCTCGATTTGAAGAAAATTTGAAGCCCATAAAAGATTGCATCTCCTACTGCCGATTTGATTTGGGTAATTGTTTACCTTGAATGTTATGTGCTTGCGAGTGTAAATTTGGATTTTACATGGGTTTTTTGTTCAAATTTTTTGGTTCTAATTTTGGGAGTTTTGATTGTAGCTTCGGCTTCTGGGTGATAATGGTTAATTTGGTTTTGTTTTCGATTTCAGGAGCTGGGGTTTTTCGAATTTGTGACTTTTCGTTGAAGTCTGCAAAGACCTCTGTGTTTAATGTGAGTGGTTTTGAAATTCCATAGTTTTGGTTCTACTTGCAGCCTGAGGCGTGATTTTAGATATGAAATTTCCAAGCTTTTTGATTAATCTTAACCCAGATTAGTTAACTATAATTAAATTAATTTTTTTCCGGTTATGTAGCTGAAGTAGCTAAAGTTAAGAAAGAACAATTGTGGCTTAAAGTCTTGATAAGTTGAATCTCAGTTCGATTCTACCAACAGCCGCAACCGTTCAGACTTTGATATTGGTTTTGAAAATAGTGAAAACACCATAAAACAAACTGATTTTCTCAACCGAAGATTATGATATATGTTTCTAAGCGGTTGGCCTGTGGAAAGTAAAAAACAAACTGAGCAATTATAAGATTTGACCAAGTAAATGGTTTCGCATTTGGTTATTTAGGATAATTACATGCGTGAGGATTATTAAATGATATATTTGATAAATTCGTCTAATTTTATGGTAGGAGGCTTTAGATTAGAACTCACTTTATGGTTTTGCATTAGAAGACAATCTGTACTTAACTTATTAAGCAAGTCTGGAGGAAATCTGCTCTTAGTTGATGCTCTGTCTCCGTCTTTTTTGCCTGCTTTAATATGCTTTCTTCTGATTTCTAATTTTTAAAATTTTTTATTTTTGTTTTATTAATTTTATTCGGAAGATTTTCACAGAATGGCTTCAATTGAGTTAGGTTTTGTTCAATTTAATCTCATTAGTTTCATTCCAATTCAATGATTTTGTGTAACACTGAGTTTTCTATTGGAGAATAAATTTTCTTCGTAGTTCATTCTATTTTGTTTTATTTTCTGATTTGGATTTTGAAATCGAGACTCCTAGCTTTGCCCTCATCAAGAATTTTTTTAGTAAAATGCAGGTGCAGAATGAATGACCAATCAATGTGGGAGAAGCTTTTAATTTTTTTGGGTTCAATTTTAAATGGGTTGTTATCAACCATTGAATTGCTTTTGGAGTTTTCATTTGATAAGAGAGATGGGGGGGTTCTTTTGGGTGAAACTTTTGATCCGTGAGATTTTTAGTTAGGTTGTGTTGTGGGTTTTCGCAAATTTCTACCGTGTTTATGCATGCATTTTTTGTTATAGATTTGGAAGAAAATAGTATTACAAGGTGTTGAGGGTTTGTTGGCGGGGGAAGGCAGCAGCGTTAAGATTTTGCCGGTGAGATATTAGGGTGAGAGAAAAAGGGGACAAAGAGCATCGAAGACACATTTGGGATTAGGGGTAGCAAAACAGGGGAAAAGAATATGACAGAGGAATGGACTCTTAATTTTTTCTTAACTGGTTTGGGATTTTGCTTGCTTTTGGGGTCGTCGTTGGCGTCAAGCCATTTGGTGTCAAGCGGTGTCTGTTTTTCATAACTTTTATTACTAATTTTTATGTCATTTGCGATTTTGTATCCTAGGATTTCTGAATTTTATCGTTCATTGTCGGTTTTTAATTTTTTTTTTCTCTTCGTTTGTTTGTTTAATATGTTGTGCTTGTGCTGGGACGCCGTTTTGCAAGTTCTCTTTCCATTGGGACAGCTGCATTTTTAAAGTGTTGAGGGTGAGATTTAGATACTCAAAACACTCTTTTTTTTTTTTTTTTTTAATTTTCCCTTCCAAATATGCGCATTTGGTTCTCTTCAGTTTTAAATGTTTAAAATTAAGTGGTTATTTGGATAAAATGGTTTATTTGTTTATCTTATGTGTTGTGATTTGGAATTCAATTGGATCGGGTAAAATGCTTTATCAATTTACGTTATAGGGAATTTTGTGTATTATGGTCTTTGAGTTTTATTGCTTATTGTTTGTTTTTTTTCCCTGTTTGCCTGTTTCTTTTGACGGGGATCACTACAGTTTGGGCATCTTTTCGAGTTTTAAATTGCTTGAGGGTAAGATTTAGATAACAAATTTCGAAACGAGGCGTTACTTTTCTTTTTGGAAACTAATTTAAAAGCTGTGCATAGATCTTAACTGTGTTGAAATGTCTTGATAAAGTAGATCCACGAAATTGGAAATATCAAAGTTGTCAAAAATCAGGCTAATTCCTTTGTGATGACAAAATGTTAAAAGTGCTGGGAAAACAATGTTTGCATTAATTAAATGATAATATACCATTTTAAGAACCATGATTAATGCAACCCAATTGTAGTAATGATTCTTCCAACATAACTCATTTTGATGAAATTCTGGCGGAGTCAACAAAAAGGACCATACCTGCACATTTTGATGAGTTAAGGGATTAATGGTCATGGATTTTTAGTTAAGGTACTATTGCTCTAATTGGAATAAAATTGTGGAACCATTGCTACAATTTTCTCTGAATTTAATATACTTCATTTGAAGGGAATAAGCAAGGGACCAGTTTGTACATTACTCCTTTAAATAAAAATCACGTTGAATTTTTTACCGATGTCATTCTAAACATATGTGCAAGGACCAGTTTGTATTTAAAACTCGCTAATGGCTCTGCTGGAGGCTAAGAAGATTGCATCCTCGTATCAAAAGGAAGCAGACAAGTGCAGTTCAGGGATGGAAACATGTGAAGAAGCAAGGGAGAAAGCTGATGCAACATTAGAGGCACAGCAGAAACAGACTGCATGTACTGCCTCTTCCGTTCTGATTTGAAGAAGATTTCTCAAGCGGCTATAATTTCATGGCAGGTTGGATTAAAGCAGTTCCAAAATTTGGGATCGTTTGGGATATTTTTAGGTTTTTCTTATTCTTGAAAAGACCATGGTTAAGAGCAAATTCATCATATTTTAATTTTTATTGAATTCAGGTAACCATCTTCAGTTTTTTCGGTTTGATTTAAAGGAATTTTTTAGGCAGAGAAGCTAGGGCTTTCCGGTGAGTTCTTCGGGTTGTACATCCGGTTGGCTTTAATTTGTTTAAATTTGGGGCTTTTGTGATTTGGGACTTCTAAATGGTTTGAAATTTATGTTTTTCTAATTTCAGTTCCCACTCTGAAGTTTGTTCTACCTCATCATTAGAACTGTTTCCTTCTGCTCTTCTTCTTGAAACAAGGTCACAGATCCACAGGCCATCAAGGTATGTCATTTAATTATATATTGTATATGTATGTATTGTATTATGCATGTGTGTGAATGCGTTTTTCTCTGTTAATCTGTATTGGTTTTCTTCTGATTTAGTTAATGGAGTTTGTTTTTATTTCAGATAATTTGATTCATGCTAAAGTTATTGAACGTACGATGGAAACCTTTCAAAAAGGTTGGTTCTTCTATATTTTTATCCTTTTGGTCGTTTTGAATGGACGTCCTGTATGCTAAATGAAGCTAAATTGAATAGCTGTTTTTGTATACCGTATTTGCTTTGTTAAATTAGTTCTTTTTTGTTGAAAAATGTTATTTGGTTTTGCAGATCAAAGTTTTTCAGCAAGAAAATTGTCTGTCAAAATTAAATTTAGATGTGAATACTTATATTTATTTAGCATTTTCAATGCGTTTTTAGTTTTTGTGCATTGTGGGTTGTAAATGTCATTTAGTGCATTGTGGTCTTAATTTAATTGCGTGGTTGGTTTCAGGATTTCTTGAGTCTAATAACAACCTGGGTGATCAAAAGGAAAAAAACCATTTAGTCTCTGCTTGCAAGATGACTTCTTTTCATGCCTGTCCTCCCTCTACTTGAAATGTTTGTTTTAAATAGGGTTTGGTTTCAGGAGACGGTGGTTTTTCGGATTCTGAGGCTTTTATTTCCAGGCTGCGAAGCCCTGTGTACTCAAGGTGAGCAATTTCAATTTCTAGGGTTATTGAATTGAGAGTTTTCTTTAGTTTTTCATTATTTTGGAGTTGAGTTTGGTATTTTGTTTTGGTTTTATTATATTAATTATCATAAGCTTCTTTGAGATTACAAGATGTTATTGGACACATTACTGCAATAGAACAAAAAGTGGCTGATTAGCAGGCTTGAAAACGAGTGTGAAATTACATTCCGAATATTAGGTAAAAAACATTTTAACAAATCATCTTCAAAAGCTGTAAATACAATATAATTACGATTGAAGTTTTGTTTTTGGTACTTCCCTAATCCTGTGATTGAGTGCAGGGTAGAGCTGAAACTGGAAAAGCTTATGTACATGACTTTCTTTATGTTAATGGCAGACCAGTTCTCATAGTGGATGCTTCTGAGCACATCTTTCTGCTGTAAGTTTTATATTTTTCGCCATGTCCAACTCCATACCATAAAATCTTAATATTCTTGAGGTGTTGCATACAAATTTATATCAACAAAATAGTGTTAGTTTTTATGTCGTTTTGAAAATTATGATCAATTTTTTGCTACGCTTGCCTTAGATCAAGTTTTGTATGGTACTGTGGTCACTGAACAAAAAGTGCCATAGGTGCATGATCCTGCCCGTCCAGAAGGGAGCAGAGAAATACTAGGAATCTTCAATCTACGTTGGGTCCAGCAAAGGTAATAGGCATACAAAAGAATTTTTTTTACTATGAAAATTATTTTATAAGTAATGGATATGGACATTCTTTTAGACATTCAAGCCCCGGGCTTTCAAACTCTACAAAACATGTTTGATTTTACTCGAATGAGAGTCTCCAAGGAGGAGAAAGAGAAGGATCCGAATGGAAAGCAAGGCACAACATCGAACAAGCAATCTACCTTTTTGACGTTTATTTTCATTTACTTAAACTTAACACCACTTCAATAGAAAACTAAACTTTAATTAGAGAAAGAGGAAGAGGAAACATAGGAGTTTATCACTACAATGATTTATCGGTAAAATCCTCAAACCCAATTCTCAATTTTCAGTTTTTTTTATTTTTTATTCTTAATTTTTTTTCTTCACATCAATTAATTCCAGTAATGTTAGGGGCTGAATTTTTTAGGTTAGTGATTTTTTCGCACATAAATTTTCTTTCTAATCATTTTGGGTGAAATAAATAGATATGGGTCTTCTATTATTATAGTATTATAGTTTTATTTCACAATTAAATGACATCTTGCTGTTTTTTGGTAGGTTTTTCTGTGAGCTTATTCGCATTGCATATTTTGTTTACAAATGTTCGGTTTAATGTGGTGGTAATATGTGCTATGATTACCACCATAGTCCAACTGATGGCTTATTAATTTGGTAAATTATTTCAGATTTAGTGTCTGCAAACCTCAGGAAGTCTAATATTAAATTGTGAAAGTTGGACTGTGGCTTGGTTCTACTTCTGCATTTCCTCTTCATTAAAATGTTTACTTACCTGCTTTTAAGCGTCTTTATTTATGTATCTATTTTTTAAAATGAATTTGAAAGATGTTATGGAAATGGGAAAGAGCAGCAGTTTGAGAACATAGTATGGGAACTTTGGGAAGGAATACTCGAAAGGAAGACCGACAATGGGTTAGCGGTAACACCCTTTTTAAATCATATTCTATTTCGTAATATTACACTATTGCGTCAGGAATAGCAACATTTATTTGGTGTCACGTAGAAAGTTCGTTGTTGTATCATGTCATGTTTTTTTAAGTTGGAGATTTTGTAGGTAGCCAGTTCGAGGAAATGGCCCTCAGTTTCTAATTACCGAGCTAAAGTTCATGCTCAATCACCAAAGTAGAAATGATTGCTTCTTTGTTCAACTCTGTTGAATCAAAATGAATAGGGTTATAATTAGGATAGCTTCTCTCACCACTTACATTTACTTTGCTACATTGATATTTTTGTATTCTATTATCTAATTATAAAAAATTTACTTCTGTTGTATTTGTTTTATGGAGAGAATAAAGTTGGATAATTTTTCATACAGTTTTCCGTCCCGTAGCAACGCGCGGGTACAATTTCTAGTAAAAGCTGAACACGTATTAACCACTAATCAGCATTTGACGTGTGGCAAAAAACAACTCCCTTGGGTTAGCATTCTGGTTTTTGGAAAATATAATCGGTGCATTTGTTATTGAACTACCTTTATTATCCCTAATATTCATTGTTTCATTTCTCAAAAAAGAATTAGATTAAAGAAAAACAAAAACATAAAAAAATCCCAAATTTCTCTTCACACTCTACCACTTCCGCCGCCGCACCCTTTGCCCCAACCCGTGCATCCCTTCCTTCTTCCTCACCTCTCTCTCTCTGACCTTCTCTCTCTCTTCCACTTTTTCTTTCTCCTCCTCTCGTAAGCTGGGGAAGGACAAAAGGAACGCTGGTGAGTCAATGAGCTCATTAGCTCTTGAGTTGCCACGAACCATTTCTCGGGTTGATGTCGAAGTAAGAGTGGGATAAATGGAGGGAAGAGGAGAAAGAATAGTAAGATAGAGTATCCAGTGAACTCATTGACGGGCGATGGTTGCTTTGTGATGGGAGCTTGGTGTCAATGGCGTGGTGGGGGTTGGTGGTGGATTTTCTATATTTTCTTTCACAGTAGGTTGGGTAAATTAGGAAGAGTAAAAAAAAAAAAATCTAGTTGGCAATTTTTTACCTAAATAAAATAAAATAACACATGTCAAGCCTTCATTTGTTAGGAACACCAACTCAGCTAGTGTTCCCAGAACTCAGAAAAATTTCTCCATATGTTGCATGTGTATGTGTGTGTATATATGTCGAACTTTGCATTCTGCAAAGAAAACTCTGAAATACAAATTCCCTACCTGCAAATTACAATTCTAAGTTGCACCTTAGAGGGAGTGACCGAATGGCCCAACGTTTATTACCTGTTATCTTAGATTGACTAGAATCAAAATGAAAGCCAGTGCAGACGCCCTCGATAGGAGTCGAACGGTATCTAGATAAATTAATCTCTTTACGAGTTGAGTAAACAAAGAAGCAATCTCTGATTATAACAGTCTAATGAGGAAGAATTTGTTCACGTCAGGTCTTGTACTGTTTAATCAATATTTTATTGGTGTTCAGCTTCGTGGGTGCACGAAAAAATGAATTAGGTAAACAATCCCAACCTTTCCCTACTACGGTACATATCCAACTATCTGGCGACATGCTTGGATAAGTAACATGATGAACCGTGCATGTATCTCTACGTGCTATGATATCTTATTATGTGGATCATGTCTTGCTTGAGGGTTCCAAACCCCGCCCTTCTCTCATATAAGAAAGTTCAAAAAAGATACGGTAGTCAAAACTGCTTCTGTCCCTAGTTTTTTTCTTGGGCTGAGAGCAAGAGAGAGTAAGTTGTCTCCAATAAATGTATATGGCGATGTTTTCACTAGGCAACTTCATTCTGTTGAGGAGTGCGGGGCTAGGATCGTTGGGGAAGCGCTTTGTAAGTGAATTGAGTTGAAGCATGTTGATTCCGCTCAATACTTGGCCCAGTCAGAGCACCAATTGACCTAATCCTAGCCCACATCCCTGTTGTTTCGAGGAGGTGTTCCTGTTTATGTTACGAGAAATGGCTATGTTTTGATAGAGTGTATTGCCTGTTGTTCTTAGCAACCCTCACTCACGAAAGATGTGCAATAGTATTTTTTTTTGTCTTTTTAAGGAAGGGTATACCCCTTGTATTTCCCTAAACACCATTCACTAACCAGTATGTTGTGCAAAGGCAAAGAGATATTATATATATTATCTAGTGGAGAGGATCATACTCAGGTCAAATGAAACTCCATAGGCTTCCATGCATAGCTTAGTGCCTAAGAAGCCCTTCAGCTGTCCAGCTTTCTATTCTCGATGCCACCAGCTGTTCCTCAACCACATTCGAGCTCCCAGCAGATACCCATGCAGCTTGACCCAACAAACCTTGACAACCTTCTTTTGTGGTTTTTTTTATTCGGATATTATAATTTTTTTGGGCTTGTACGGAAATTTTCATATATATTATAAATAAATAATTTTTTTGTTTATTAATTATTGTTTATAATTTAATTAAAATAATTACAAAAAAAATAATTAAAATATGTAATTTAAAATAAATAAATAAAGAGAGAAAGAAATTAAAAATACCTTTTCCTGACAAAAGATCTTCGACACATAAGATTAAAAGCAAGGAAAGCTTTCGTCGCAAATCATCATGAATGGTGAAAATTTCATAATTCAAAGATATTAAAATTACTCGAAAAGCAAATATTATAAGGACAAATTTCGTTGCATCCTTGTAATTCTATGTTGTTTATTTTGATGTAGTGTGAACTGAAGACTACAATTCCACAATTGCGCATCTCCAGCTATGTGCACAAAATGGATGGAACTCATCGGCTAGCAACACATATTATTAAGAAAATATCAGTTTGGGTTTCTTGTATGTAATCATTTGCCTACATTAATGGAGCGATTAGTGCTGATAGTTGGTGGAACAGTATGTGCTGATAGTAGAGCAAGCAATTAGTGGAGTTGGTAGCCATAGCGGAATCAGTAATTATTTGATGGGTGGGCTACTAAAATTATTACTTTTAATTAAACTACCAATATCTTTTTAGACCCAATTTACTACCTAAACTACCCTCACCTCTCTCTTCCTTCTTCCTCGGCAAGCACCGAACGGGTGCGACCACCTTGAAACACCACCACTAGCATCTCGCCGGTGAGCCACATCACCATCACCCCTAGCTCATCCCATCTCTCTATTCTTGAGCCCAAAACCCAAACTCAAACAACTCTCGGACCTCGCATCAGAGAATAATCGGAAATGGAGAACTCCGGCAAGTTCTCATTGTCCCTGCCAAAGGTAAGCCTTGAAAACCCCCAAGATCTTCATAGATCATGTTTAGGAGTACGATTAGGATGTTTTTCAGATGTTTTAGTGTTGTTTGGACGCAGAAATACTCCGAGAGTAGCAAACCCAGTTTTCCGACCGCTTTCGAGCTGTTTTCTGGCCAACTCTGGCCATAGCCGAGGAGACCAAAGGTATGTTCTTATTCCTTGTCCCCTGAGCTTCGATTTGATATATTGGAAGGCTAGGTTTAGTGAAGATTTTGAGTGGTCGGAGCCAGGATTTATCCCAGCGGTTGCAGCAGCAACCGGCCAGAAAAAAAGAAGAAAAGAAAAAAAAAAAAAAAAAAGAGGAAGTCTAAATCTGTGACCCACATCCGGATCCGAACTCGGGATCTGGCCCAGCCCATCTCTGAATTATGCTTGGAATATTTTTTAGAATATTCTTGGAGTATTCTTTGTGTTGACTTTTTCAAAATTTTCTCAAGAACCCTCATAGGCTAATTTCGACACCCTAAGTCCGTTTTTTGACATCCATTTAGTGAAATTCCAAAGGTTTTAACATAGTTGACCATCGGGGCATCTCAGTTTACTTTTCAGAGTTGACCGTCGACTTTTTCATTGACTTTTTTATAAAATTTGCCCGGGACACCTTTTAGCATATTTCGGCATCCTGATTCCAAATCCATACTCCATTTTCCCAAATTCAAACATTTTAACCAAGTTTTGCTAATAGGTCCCAATATTATGCTTAGGTGCGATTACCACCTGAGACTCCGGCTTTTCTAGTTCAAGCAGCTGCGATCTCGCGAGTATCAGTGAGTGGGTTTTTTTTTTTTTTTTTTTTTTTTAATTTTTTTATATAGTATATATATAATTGTTAGTTTCCAATTATACATTCAAAAAGAGTTTTCTATAATTCGCCTAGATTAGTGTGATTATGAAGTTATGCTACGTCCTATGGGATGCACAGGTATGTGTATTATTATTGATGCCTTAATTATATTTATGGTCATAGATAGTATTATGGTGACATGAATTATCGATTTACCACTGTATAATTTTATTTACGTTATCTGCTCATCGTGTGCTGCATTGGTGTTAGTACTTGTCCCAGCCACAGCTAGTCTTTCACGTGTATGTTCACATCACACTGTACGCTCACTTTGGATCCATTATAGTTGCCAGTCTTGTCCTAAATTGCTATAGGCAATTAGGACTCGTCAAGTGATGCGCATATTGCCAGTCTTCACGTGATTATAGTACGAGAGCGTAAATCATTATTACACCAATCTTGTGCATGTCAGAATATTTCTGCATGAACTCATGTGTCAGCATATGTCGATGAGCACTCATTATGATATGTTAGTTTATGCGAGGTTACATGACACTGAACATTAGGCATTTATTTACGAAATATTATGACTTATTAAATTTCTGAGATATTGCAGGCTATTGTAAGTATTTTCACACTACACGTAGAATGTATATTTTGGAAACTATACTTGTTTTCGCCCCTCCAGGTTTAGTAGCTGAGTTTTCGTGTTGACGAGGATTCTTGGTAAACTTTGGAATAGGTGATTACCTTCGATGGTATAATTCTTATCCTACCTTTACTGTACTTTACTTGTGCTCTGATATCATGTGTGGAATGAGTTCATTCCCTTTCACAAGCGCACTTATACATTTAGGCACTTTTAGTTTTAAATATATTAATATTTTTCACATCACTATACTCTCTGACTTCGTCACCCTCCTGGTGTCGGTCAGTACAACTCGATTCGGAGTCTAGGCAAACATTCCGAGTGGAGGTGTGTCAAGTGTGAACTAAAGACTACAATTCCACATTGGGGCATCTCCAGCTATGTGCACAAAATGGATAGAACTCGTCGGCTAGCATCACATATTATTAAGAAAGTATCAGTTTTGGGTTTCTTGTAATGTAATCATTTGCCTACATTAGTGGAGCAATTAGTACATTAGTGGAGCAATTAGTGCTAATAGTTGGTCGAACAGTAAGTGCTGATAGTAGAGCAAGCAATTAGTGAAGTTGGCAGTAATAGTGGAATCATGAATTATTTGGTGGGTGGGCTACTAAAATTATTAAT